AGAATATGCACCTCTTTCGTAGTGAGTACTTGACACCATCTGTGATAACATCAGGTCGGCGATAGAACACCAGTCATCTTCGGATTCTGTTTCAAGAAAGAAGGTTCAAGAAAACCTGCTGTGCTCTAAAGATAGAGCGTCGACCTTCTATTAATAACTAATTGAGATCTGCTTCCTTGCATCTAGAAATTCCTGTCGTCGTCCTACGAACTCATTCAACTACAAAATTCTGGTCTTCCAACAGTTTCCTTCTCAACAAGAGCTCTGAAGAAATCTATATGAGTGTTAACCCCTTAAGAACTATTTACTCGCTTAAAGAACTTTTAGGCGCCCAGAGAAATATTTTGAGCAAGCCTTTTTATAAACATATTTTCTTCCTTTAAGTTAAAGGAATTTTCTTCTCCTTTTCTTTCTCTTGTATTTGTGTATATCTTTTTACCTTTTTATGTATGTGTAGTGAGATGCAAATTAGTATAATTTGCATATGAGCAGGTATCTCATATGATAAACGGACACCAACTAGAACAGAGGTCGAACGCTTACTTAGCAATATATACGACACAACAATGGCGTCGCCGATAGGATACTCTTTGGTCCTTGAAGACCCAGAATACGTAGATACGTGGATTCGTTGCTTTGCTGCTAATGCAAGATGTAAAAAGTTGAAAACAACAACAAAAACAGAGGAGGGGAAAATGAAATCACCGACTTGTTTATGGCTACCGCTGGTTGTGAAGCGATTATGAAGGTTGCTACAATGGTTTACCCTCGAGAACTAGAAGAAATGACTTTCGAAGAAATAAGTCAGGTTATTAAGGGAAACATGAGGCCAAAGAAAAGACTGGTGATTGCAGAAAGGACCAAGTTTATGGCAATGAAGCAGGAAGTGGATGAACCGATAGTAAAATATTTACACCAGTTAAGAAGTGCGAGTAAATACTGTGAATTCGAAAAACTAGGAACAGGAGAGCAGACAACGGAAGAAGAATTAATCCAACTAAGATTAATTGAAGGTATGCATAATTCAGCACATAGATATAAGTTAATGGAACAGTTACAACTTACAAACATGCCTTTGAATATGTGTATAGAATTTATACAACAGCAGGAATTAATACATACCTACAACCAAAATAAAAATAAATCCTACGAAGAAATAATGGCTGAAACATATACGGTACAAACAAAAAGAAAAAATTGTGCGTACTGTGGAAAAATTCATGAAATGAAAAAAGAAAAATGCCCAGCCTTTGGAAAAACTTGTTCAAAGTGTTTAAAAAAATCACTTCAAAGAAGTATGTAAAACGAAAAATGTGGAAAGAGTAGAGGATGAAAATAGACAGATTTTTAATGTAAAAAGGATAATATACAAAATATTGGATCTAAGAACGGAGATACAAAATAAAAGTGAAAATCAACGACTGTATTGTCGAAATGCAAATCGACACAGGTAGTGACGTCACGATAGTACCCAGAAATTTGTGGGAAAAAATGGGAAAACCATTTAAAAAAAAAACCAACGTACAATTACGTCAGTTTGATGGCTCGATTATAGCAATTATGGGTTACTTTGAAGGTTCAATAGAACTAAAAGAAAAATATGAAATAGTACCCATTATAGTTACAAATTGCCGAAAAACGCATGGACTACTGGGAATGACGTGTTAAAAATAAATTCAACGAAGTTGATTAATGAGATAGAAATAGAAAAACAGGAAAATTAAAAAATTATGAAGCTAGCCTGAAATTAAAAGAAAATGTTTCCCCCCTCCTACTACGAAGCGAGAAAAATACCAGTGCATTTATTACCGTTGGTAATAGCTAAATTGAAAGCTAATAAAGGAAGACTTATTAGAACCTGCCCTCCAGGAGGAAGTAAATGGGCATCACCCATTGTGGTATTGAAAAAAAGATGGTGACCTGAGAATTTGTGGAGATTATAAAATAGGGGTGAACCATAAAGTTTGTGCTGACTCGTACCCTATTCCGAATGTGGAAGTAGCTTTACATAAACTTGCTGGAATGAAAGTATTTTCGAAGATAGACCTAAAATCAGCTTACCACCAAATACCGATAAATGAAAATTTTAAAGAAGTGACGACCATAAACACACCTATAGCCCTGTTAAGGTGGAAAAGAATGCCGTATGGCATAAAAACGGCAAGTGCAATTTTCAAAAAAGCTATTGAAAAGTAATAGGAAATGTTGAAAATACCATCTGTTATCAAGACGATATATGTGTTGGAGATTTAAATGAAGATGATTTAAAGAAAAAAAACTGAAAATATACTGAACCGGCTAAGAGACGCTGGTATGACAATAAATACAAAAAAGTGTGTAACCAACAGTAATGAAATATCATTTTTGGGTTACTCAATATCAAAGGAAGGGATCTCTCCAGATAAAGTACTAATAGAGAAAATTCTAAAAGTTGCTACACCAAAAAATAAAAAAGAGTTGGAGTCCTTCTTAGGTTTGGTAAATTTTTATAGAAAATATGTACCAAAATATAATGAGTTGACAGAACCATTTGCTAAGTTAAGAAAAAAAAAATGTGGAATTCATTTGGTTAGAACACCAACAGAAAGCCTTTGAAAACTTAAAACAGATTCTGGCAAAAAAACCAATAGTACAAATTTTTGACCCTAAGAAGGACATAACTCTAACTACTGACGCTAGTGAGCAGTCCATATCTGGTATTTTGTCACAAGATGGGTATCCCATAATGTACTTATCGAGGAGATTAACAACTGAACATAATTATTCGAATATAGAAAGGGAGGCACTAGCCATAGTGTGGACAACGGATAGAGCAAGACAGTTTTTGATGGGAAAAAATTCTTGTTGAAAAGTGATCACAGACCACTGGAATTTATTTTCAACCCAAGAAAAGAGCTACCGAAAGTTAAAACGTCCAGAATATTACGTTGGGCGATTAGACTGATGGCGTTCGACTTTGACATTGAATATGTTAAAGGGAATACGATACCGCACGTTGATGTCTTATCTAGATTGAGGTTTTATAGAGAGGAGAAGGACAAAAACGACGAGGAATTTGAAGACACATTCTTGCACCTTGTAGAAACCGATGTAATATCTGTAGATAAAATGGCTACTGAAACTACAAATGACCCAGTTTTAAATAGAATAATGTCGAGGATAAAACAGAATCGCTGGGGAAATTGTTCAATGGCTGAAAGACCATTCAAAGAAATCAGACATAAAATGACTATAGAAAACGGGATAATATTTAATGGAGACTTGGTAGTTCCCCCAGAAACACAGAGGAGACAGGTTATAAAAAGTGTACACGATGACGTACATTGTGGAGTGGCAGCTACGCAAAGAAGATTAAAATTGGAAGCGTGGTGGCGGGGTACTCAAGAGACGTAGAAGACTACGTAAAAGATGCAAAAAAATGCACAGAACTCAGGAATTTTAAGCAAAAGAAAATACATGTATGGCCCTGAGAAGTAGAACCATGGAGCAGAGTACACATGGACCATGCCTATGTCAATGGGATAGGACTATTATTAATATTAGTAGACGCATATTCAGGTTGGCCTGAAGTGGTGAGAGTACCTGATAAAAAAAAAGTACCACCGTAAAACAAATATTAAGAGTAATATTTTCGAGGAATGGGACACCGAGAACATTGGTGACTGATAACGCACCAGAATTTGTGGATGCTGATTTGCATGAATGGCTAAGAAAAATAGGATGCAGACCTTACAAGACCCCTCCCTACCACCCTCAAAGTAATGGGACAGCGGAAAGGATGGTCCAGACGGTAAAGAAGGGCATAAAAGCATGCTTGCAACAGAAGGAGGAAATCGATGCTTTTCTACCAAGACTACTATTAAGTTACAGAACAATTCCACATGCAGGCAGGCCGGAAAGTCCATCTGCCTTAATGGGCAGACAATTAAGGTCCCCTTTGACTATGTCATATGCCACAAATCAAAAGATGTGGTACAAAAGAAATAGGAATATGCAACTCGAGTCAGCCGAATTTATTATGCAGAAAGGACATAATACTGCAATATTAAATAAAGAAAATGGGAACAGTGTTCTAGCTCATGCTGACCAAATAAGATCCCAAGGAGAAGAATCGGATGAGGAAATGCCTTCAGAGATGCCCATTATTGACGTAACAGAAGAGTTAATGCGGAGGAAGAATGAATGAGTTGAAGAGGAAGAAGAAGGGATGAGTTAGAGGGAGTAGAGAGGGATGAGTTAGAAGAGGAAGAAGTAGAATGGGACAAGTTAGAAGAGAAAGACCAGAGTATGCAAGAGGAACAGTTCGATTATAGGGAAAGACGTGATAGATCTAGATCTCCAAGGGAAAGGAGAGAGATAAAGGAAGATGTTCAGGAGGGCACAAGAAGAAGTACAAGAAGTACTCTCGGCATAAGGCCCCTCCGTTATAGGGAGATGTAGTGAGATGCAAATTAGTATAATTTGCATATGAGCAGGTAGCATATATGATAAACGGACACCAACTAGAACAGAGGTCGAACGCTTACTTAGCAATATACACGACATATATATTCGTTTTTGCTGTTTCATTACATTTCTTTATGGTGGATTCAATCTCCGCCATGTTTGTTGTGGGTCATTTCAGGAGACATACGTATTCATCTTACAACGTGTACACACAGGTTCGCAACACATTATCATCTTTCATTGTTACACCCCGAGCAGGACCCTAAAAGAGAGAACTGTTCGCTTTAAACTTTCAAGCCGTTGTTGCTTTTATTGATTCTGTCATATTTAACTTTAACCCTTTCATGTGGGAAAGCCGGGAAAAATTTCCCACGCATTTCTATTAATTGTCAAGCGAGTTAAAATGATGCAAACATACATGCTTTTACGCTATGTAGCGCATGAGATTCATACAGATACATGCATGTGATGTTGCAGAGGTGACCGTGATAGTGTCGTTGGCACCATTCGTGTCCCAGTTTCGGTGCCGCCATGATGCTTGAACCCGACATGTCTCAGGAAGCCAAGTCTGGAATGGAACAATCTCGGGCATGGTAGAGGAGGTGACGGTCTGGGGCTGCCTGGCCTTGCGTTGCCTTTCTTTTGACTTCCGTTTCAGTCTTTCTCCTCTCCTCGAGAGTGGAACAACTGAAAATGAATTGCTCTTCATCAGGATGGATGGTCGGCGTCTTCTGTTTCTCAGATGTTAGATCCGATTTCAGCTTGAAAGAAGGAAGACTACAGTCTGTCTCTGAAGCTGCCTTTTGGGGTTCTGCAATAATGTTTGTCGTTGACGAGCTTGTCGTAGATGGTGCTCCGCGGGTAGTCTTGAACTGGCCATTAAGTCACATGTCTTAACCACCTGAGGTGATGCTTGAGAATTTTTCAGTGCTGGGCATTTCTGAGCAATTAAGCATTTCGTTGTTGTTGCGTCGGTCCTGCCATTTGATGGCGAGGATCTGCAAGACATACTTAGCAATCCCCACCACAGAAATGAGCTAGGAGGAAAATAATATCTATTGACTCTGTTTACCAATTCCTGATCCTACTTGTAGTGTCCTTTCCTCTTCTTTCTCTCTACTTCTACTGATTCTTCTTTTTATCTTTGATAATTACAAAGCTTGATTCAGCTTAGCATTCTAAAGACCAAGGTAACAAAAAAAAAAGCTCCCGACAAACACCACCGACTTCCTCCTTATATAGACATATATTGCCCACAATGTTCTGGTTTTTGTATATAAAAATCTATCTTTATTTACTCAGTTTCTTCTGAAGGTTTTAAGGTAACACTTTTGTCTTTATTTATTTATTCAGACCACGCTCACGAAACTGCACTTACCGTTCTTACCTGCCATTTCACATTCGGGTTAACAATTATTCCAATTTCTATAAAAGTCTTTTATTGAAAAGAAAACCAATCCTCTGTTAAGTATACTTAGACCAGTTCACCCTCCACAAAGATTGTGCGAGGATAGAATGATGAAGCTGCCATAAAGATGACAAAAATAGTGGAACAAAATGATACATATCTTGTGGGTTGGTATGCGCGTTGTGAGATAAACACGCGTGTCTCCTGAAATGCCCACAACAAACAGTAGACTCACCTAAATAAATATAAGAAACAAGGACCAATATATATATATATATATATATATATATATATATATATATATATATATATATATATATGCGTACAAACAAATGATAATGTATTAACAAAGGTTTACAAGTGACATGTGAAGTGAATGAATGTGCGTACGTACGTGTGTGTATGTATGTATTGTTCATGCGTTTCGCACAAAAGGAAAAACGCGATCTCCCGCGAGAGATTTACATTGTTGTCGTATAATCGTAAAAGTAAGAAATAAAAAAAATATTGCAGAGTATTTATAGTGTTGGAGAGCGCCCCCTAGTAACGGTTTTGGAAATTAGGAGGAAATAACCCGACACATATATGGTGAATAAATCTATGTATAAATATCTAAATATTGCCTTTGAAATTCACTTAAAATCACTATGAACTTTTGTTCCAACCCAAATTATATAGATAGATATGAACAGACTAAGAGATATGAATTTGGAACATCACAAATTATACTAACGTTCGTTTAACAAGTCGAATGCATGTGAAACAAGGTCATAGATAGATAGATAGATAGATAGATAGATAGATAGATAGATAGATAGATTAGTGTGTGGTTACAGGAAACAACGTAGCATAGTGACTTTCGGTATCACATCTTTAAAATCCTACATGCTATTGTGACGACCATCATCACACACATACATACATACTTACGCATATTCAAATTATACAACAACAAGCATTCATTGGATAATAAATCAACACTACTTTGTAATAGACAATTTATAAATCGCATCTATGCAACAATTTTGTAATCGCTATATTTTCATGTAGTTGATTTTGTGCACTTTTGGGAGAATCGGATCCCAAGAGCCTTCTTAGCTTAGTAAATATTTTCAGGAAATATCAGCTTCTAATTGGTCAATAAACACACAAATGGGCGTTGCAATCCACCTACGCTCAATATATTTTTCCAGTGCGTGACCAAGTCAAGTTTCACGCCAAGTTCTTTTGATCCTGTCACGTGATTACATTATCTATAAATAGCAAACACGAGTTTGCCTTTTTCTCTTCTTTTTTCTCACTTCTTGCTGCAAAATGCAGTCCCAGAGAATTATCGTCTCGACCATGACGTTAAATAATATTTCACGTATTCACGTACGTACGAACTCTTACGAACTTTTCCAACCTACATTACAAACATACAGAACATTTACAAACAAGCAACAAGAACTTTATTTTTCTAAAACTACAGTTTAATAATTAATCCAACTTCGTGAGCTCCGGTAAAAATATTTCCAGTCTAAGAGACATAACTCCATCAGATCTTTAACTTCTACGCATGTACATCACGACCCAAATAAATACAATGTTATGTTTGCTTTAAAACCTTTTGTTCCCACTTCTGGAAATTATGCGTTGTGGAATAAAGCGACAACTCAAATATAAATCGGTGGTCATGTTAAATCACCCCCGGGACGATTCGCAGAACCTGATGGCCACTTTCAGACCTCTACACTACAAACTTTTGTTCCACCCCAGGATATGTGTAATATAAATGCATTGATAATCATTTTAATATAAAAATGCATTGCTATTTATTTTACTATAGAATTATATAGAATGCAACAATGATATATATAATGCAAATTCAATGCTAATTATTTAAGTATTGAAATATATTGAAAATCAAGAATAAAGGAATTGACAGTGATCATGAATTAATATAAGCTACTTGAGAGAGAAAGGAATATGTTTTAATGTTGGGGATATTACACGCTCTTTGACATAGGTCAATGGTGTCATCTCTATGATTCTATGATTGGCCAGTTAATGTAACACATTTTATTTATTGTTTATCTTTTAAAATAAATTTACCTGCTACCTTCTCTGAAAGATAGCAAGGAACAACTGCAATTTCTTTCCCCACCATCAACCGCTGCTCCCATCCCACCAAATGAAACTTTTTAACAGAAAATTAATCCATTGTTTTGTTTTTTTGTTTGATGATTATTTGAAGAGCAGAGCTGCAGAGTAGTTATCAGCGCTCAAGGCCGAACAGTGGCTAAGACTGTGTTCCCCTTATGCTATGGAATCCTCCACATTTGCCTGTCACCCCCTACGGAAGATGCACTCTTCCCTAAATAAACCTTTAACCAATTATCACTTTACTTTTCCAAACTCAATCACCCATTGGTTAAAAAGACACTAAAATGTAGCAAAGTTGAGACAAACCTTTTTCCCACGCAGGTCCCTGGAGCCTATTTAGAAACTCGAAAACCTATAAAAAGAATCGCTCGACTTAATTCAAGTCAGTCAGACACTGAGTTTCGAGAGATACCAGCAGACCCCACGCGTGCCAACACACTGACTCAATAACCACTACCAACCTCTCAACAACTCCACACAACTATTGCCGCGTGAAGAAACTTAACTTACAATTTACTAAAAAAGTGACATTATCACTACAAAACAGTAATTGTACATTCAATCAACTTTAGCCTATCAGTTAAAGGCAAACAACTCTTCATAACTTAAATCAACACTAGCAGTTGTCACACATATACACACTATCACTTGAACTTACACAATTGACAATTTTCCTTGCAGATATCAAATTATTTTAATTTCACAAACAAACTTAAACTATCAACCTTTACTCACTAAATTTCTGCATGGAAAATCTTTGTAATCTTATTTCACTTGTTGTGATAAATATGGCAACAAAGATGAGGATGATAATCCGAGCAATGCAAATAATATCCGTTTTCGTTTTCTGGTTCAGATGTAAGTTAGAATAAGTAAGGATAAGAATGGTTAAAATGGTCGATCTCAAGTCAGCCTTGCGCAGAGTTGGAACAACCAAAAAAAATTGTACTTATTTCATAGGTGAAGCTGCAAAACCTTTCTGAAAGTGGGAAGAGAGCGGTTCTGTCCTTTCCGGAAGTGAGTACATAAGTGTGAAGAACTGAGCTAACAAGTAACAAATTTGGCTACATTTGAAAGAATAGATTTTGAATTGACTTTCTTTTCATTAGTAGCCTAAGTTAGTTCAGCTTATTTTCAATTTGGTAACTCTGCATCACAAGAAGTGGATTCCGATGGCATTGTTGCGGAATCTATGCTGAGTAAGATGTTTCAGAAGGTGATTTTTTGTGAAGGCCAAGAATGTGCGGTGATCGTAATGCATTTATCCACAACAAATAAATCAAACAAAAATAAATAGACAATTCAACTTCAAGAAATTACTGAAAACAACATCATTAGAGATTTAAAAAATAACGTGAATTTATATATATATATATATATATATATATATTTGACATACACAAAGTGATAATAAGTTGCTTGTTAAATGAAGTGTCAGATTCATGACCATTCATGATTTGGGCCTATCAAGATCGATTCAAGTAGATGTGTATTATATTATATCATTTGCTATTCTCATTGTAGCTCTTCTTCTCTCCTATTAGATTGTAGCAGATGAAGTGTCAGATTCATGAACATTCATGATTTGGGCCTATCAAGATGGATTCAAGTAGATGTGTATTATATTATATCATTTGCTATTCTCATTGTAGCTCTTCTTCTCTCCTATTAGATTGTAGCAGATGAAGTGTCAGATTCATGACCATTCATGATTTGGGCCTATCAAGATGGATTCAAGTAGATGTGTATTATATTATATCATTTGCTATTCTCATTGTAGCTCTTCTTCTCTCCTATTAGATTGTAGCAGATGAAGTGTCAGATTCATGAACATTCATGATTTGGGCCTATCAAGATGGATTCAAGTAGATGTGTATTATATTATATCGTTTGCTATTCTCATTCTAGATCTTCTTCTCTCCTATTAGATTGGAGCAGATGAAGTGTCAGATTCATGACCATTCAATGTTTGGGCCTATCAAGATGGATTCAAGTAGATGTGTTTTATATTATATCATTTGCTATTCTCATTGTAGCTCTTCTTCTCTCCTATTAGATTGTAGCAGATGAAGTGTCAGATTCATGACCATTCATGATTTGTGCCTATCAAGATGGATTCAAGTAGATGTGTATTATATTATATCATTTGCTATTCTCATTCTAGATCTTCTTCTCTCCTATTACATTGTAGCAGATGAAGTATCAGATTCATGACCATTCATGATTTGGGCCTATCAAGATGGATTCAAGTAGATGTGTATTATATTATATCATTTGCTATTCTCATTCTAGATCTTCTTCTCTCCTATTAGATTGCAGCAGATGAAGTGTCAGATTCATGACCATTCATGATATGGGCCTATCAAGATGGATTCAAGTAGATGTGTATTATATTATATCATTTGCTATTCTCATTCTAGATCTTCTCTCCTATTAGATTGTAGCAGATGAAGTGTCAGATTCATGACCATTCATGATTTGGGCCTATCAAGATCGATTCAAGTAGATGTGTATTATATTATATCATTTGCTATTCTCATTGTAGCTCTTCTTCTCTCCTATTAGATTGCAGCAGATGAAGTGTCAGATTCATGACCATTCATGATTTGTGCCTATCAAGATGGATTCAAGTAGATTTGTATTATATTATATCATTTGCTATTCTCATTCTAGATCTTCTTCTCTCCTATTAGATTGTAGCAGATGAAGTGTCAGATTCATGACCATTCATGATTTGGGCCTATCAAGATGGATTCAAGTAGATGTGTATTATATTATATCATTTGCTATTCTCATTGTAGCTCTTCTTCTCTCCTATTAGATTGTAGCAGATGAAGTGTCAGATTCATGACCATTCATGATTTGGGCCTATCAAGATGGATTCAAGTAGATGTGTATTATATTATATCATTTGCTATTCTCATTCTAGATCTTCTTTTCTCCTATTAGATTGTAGCAGATGAAGTGTCAGATTCATGAACATTCATGATTTGGGCCTATCAAGATGGATTCAAGTAGATGTGTATTATATTATATCATTTGCTATTCTCATTCTAGATCTTCTTCTCTCCTATTAGATTGTAGCAGATGAAGTGTCAGATTCATGACCATTCATGATTTGGGCCTATCAAGATGGATTCAAGTAGATGTGTATTATATTATATCATTTGCTATTCTCATTGTAGCTCTTCTTCTCTCCTATTAGATTGTAGCAGATGAAGTGTCAGATTCATGACCATTCATGATTTGGGCCTATCAAGATGGATTCAAGTAGATGTGTATTATATTATATCATTTGCTATTCTCATTCTAGATCTTCTTTTCTCCTATTAGATTGTAGCAGATGAAGTGTCAGATTCATGACCATTCATGATTTGGGCCTATCAAGATGGATTCAAGTAGATGTGTATTATATTATATCATTTGCTATTCTCATTCTAGATCTTCTTCTCTCCTATTAGATTGTAGCAGATGAAGTGTCAGATTCATGACCATTCATGATTTGGGCCTATCAAGATGGACTCAAGTAGAAGTGTATTATATTATATCATTTCCTATTGTCATTCATGACCACTCATGATTTAATTTTTATTAAAACAGATTCATTTATGTAGGCATATATCAAAAATCTTTTTGTACATCAAACATAAATCTGATTGAAAAATTAGGTGTTGTCCAACTGATGCTACATTCTTCACATGTTTTTTCATAAAATTGGAAGATATTTTAATCACTAATACAATTATGAATTAAAATTCCTGACAATATATATATATATATATATATATATATATATATATATATATAAAAGTGAACATTGAATTCAACACTCAGAGGCAACTGTTTCATACTAAACACAACCATCAGGCCACATGCACTGTGTTTTTTCTCAACTATTTATATATACAAGTCAGTGGTGCATAGTTTGTAGTCTATATAAACTAATTTGGAAATAACTTTTTATCAATGAATTAGATTTGTATTTTCCTAATTCTTTTTATGTATTTGGTGTAAGATACAATTTTATCGATTATCCAATAAAAACAACAAACTTTATTCATAAGAAATATGGTTTTTTTCTAAAGTCATTAATAAACTGCCACTTTTTTAGTGAATGTTATCATAACCATGACAACCTAATTGTTTAGAGTAAAATTATGTCTCTAAAGGTCTGGACAGGTGAGTATAAATTAATTTTGATTTAATGTCGGTTATAACTGCAGTAGAAACAAAATAAAATTTATTTCTTAATCTCTTAACAATGACATTCATCACACATAATCCGTTAAAAATATTATGCATTTAAGACAAATTTTTTTCTTTGGCTATGACAGCCAAAGAAAAAAAAAATTGTCTTAAATGCATAATATTTTTTAACTTGCAATACTGACAGAGTTATTTGCCCCTGGTTGATAGCATGTGACATGCGCACTGGCAGCCATTAAACTCTGAATCCCTAAGAGTTATTTGTCAACAGTCTCTCTTTCTCAGAGGGTTATTTTTTTTTATTTTCTGTTGTTGCCCATTATGAGTGAATGTGGCGCAGGATCATCGTCGAAAGACGGCCAGGGTAGTGAGGACACAACGTACCGACAAAGCGAACCAGCTGATTCTGGAGCTTATGAGTGTAATATCTGTTTGGATTCTGCACGCGATGCTGTGGTCAGTCGTTGTGGCCATCTCTTTTGGTAAGTCATACGTAGTTATCTGCCCTTTATTCAATTTTCTTTACTTAGAATTATTATTATTATAATGTCTTCTTTTTCTCTTCTCTTGTCTTTTTTAAATAATTTATTTTCCAAAATTGATAATCCTTTCTTTTTTAAAAAATATGGCTCTAAAAATTGTTTTATTTCTAAAACAGTTATTCCGTTTTATTAAGTTGAGGGGACATAGTCGTCCATCTTCTTCGCTAAAAACATCTCCATATTTTTCATACAATTCATTCAGCAAGAAGTATCTTCGATTTGTTTGTTATATTATATCCAGTTTTAATTAGATTATAATTTATATTTTTATCAAGAAACGTATTACAAGTGATAAATTGAAATAAAAGCATACTTTTTTGTTTTATTAATGTTGAACCACACCTCCTCACTTCAGCAACAGATATGACATAAATAAAGTAGAACTTCTTAAAAATATATCTTAAAAATAATTATTCTTCTGTATTTTCCATCATATATTCAAATATCAATTGTATTTTGACTGTTCTCTATATGCCTGACATCGTTTTAGTGTTTTTTTAAGTTGCCATTTACAAACAATTGGGGGAACGATTCATTACTTGAAATTTATTAAAACTGATCCCCCACTTTTTAGCTGTAAAGCAAAAAACGTTTTTTTTCTTCTCGTTTTATGTTCATTATTTTTTTCATTCTTTTGAGAAAGTGGCAATTAGTTAACAATTCCCCTTAATGTTAAATAATTGGCCTTTTAACTACGTCTTAAACCAACTTTAAATTTATATTATTTTAATTAATTTTTAACTTTTTTTTTTTTTTAACAAAACAAAAAACCTGTAATTTCCAGAAAATTGTTGCCCACCCGTTTTACCTTTTAGTTGTTTAGCTCTTTCCCGTTAAATTGAATCATCTCTACTAACGAGGATTTAATAAAGAAACCCTGAAAAATGAAACCATAAACCAATTTTTTTTTTTTTTTAAATATCTTTTAAATATCAAAATCTTTTCGTCTACAAACAACCAGATGGGAATCAAGGTCACATGTATTGTTTCTGATTTGTTTAAAGGATCGGATTTTATTTTTGTCTCTAGGTTGGTGATTGTTTATTTTTTTACTTATTGTCACTAAGTCAACTATTAGGTACCTCCACTTTTTCGCGGAAAAAACACAATCATCATGAAAAAATGCCCCAAACTCAATAAAAACAAAGTTTTGTCACCAAATGTTCGTTAAAGAGGAAAGAGCAAATTATTTTTTTATTGTGTTTTTGAAATTTCTTCTTAATCCTTTCTAGCACGTTCGAAATTATAATGATTATTACTTGTTCTCAAATTCATGTCAACCCTCTTTGGGGCATGAATAGTCGATGTTGAACAATTTTTACACAGTCTTCTTATGTGGGAGTTTTTTGGGGTTTTTTTATAAAAACTAAAAGTTTTAGTTACAAAAACATAATTATTTGCCTTTTTTATTTTTGTGTTACCCCGTTTTTTTGGGTTTTTTTTAAAAACTGATCTTACACGGTAATAATATAAATCTTTAAGTTTTAATGTCATTTTCGAAATAACCAAGCAATTTCACACCAGAATGGTACATTCTCAATGCCTGGGGGGGGGGCTTTTTTGGTGCTTCTTCTACAAATTAACCAGTTTTACTTTAATCTCCAACATATTTACTTGTTTTTAAAAGTAAACACAGAAATAAATGTTATTTAAAAACATAAGCATGTTTTTAATTTTTTCCTACGATATAATTGAATAACCATGCTTGTTTTTTTTTGTTTTTTATTTCAAATAACAGGTTAGTGTGCCATCATGACTTATTATTGTTACTAAATGTCAGACCATGAGAAATAATGTTTTTAGTTTACCTGAATTAGAAGCACAAAAAATCGCATTGCTTGAACAACCCAAATGATCGCACCTACCTTGTATTGTAATTAGAAGACAGAAAAATAATAAAATTAAAAAAGTTTACTACACGGCAAGGCTGCAAATATAACTATTTTCAATTAAAATAATTGAATCTTCTTATGTTTAAAAAAAACAACCCCAAAAAACTCGTAGACAAATGGCACATCAGATTTGATTTTATATCGAATATTTATTTTAATTTCTAAGAAAAATACAAATCGACACTTTTTTTTTTAACCTTAATTTGTTTCTGAAGCGGTTTGTTTCCCAGACAAATCGTTCAACACCAAACGGATATAAAAAAAATTCAATTATTTTCAATGCCTCAAAAAAGGCCTTGCTTTTCTACTGAGATAAATTTATGATGTCATTAAAATTTAATTTAAATAAAATAAAATTTAATATTTTTTTCTTTTTCTTTTTCTTTTTCTTTTTCTTTTTCTTTTTTTTTTTTTTTTTTTTTTTTTTTTTTCTTTTTCTTTTTTTTTTTTTAATAAATCTATTTCAGAGGTAAAATGTTACACTTCGCGCCTGTCTCTGGAGATGATCATGAACTTTTTACCAAAAAAAAATTGAACAAGATTTTTCCAATTTACATAGAAAAATTGTTGACTGCTATGAAAAGTTTTGATAAAAAATAGAATCCGATATTAAAAATGTATTTTTTTCTTACATTAGAAACCAGTTGTTGTTAGATAAAAACCAAACGTAAGAAAATAAATTTCAATTCTCTTACCTCAAAATTGCCAAAATACTCTGTGAACGATGTAATTAATAATAACTATAATATTTTTTAATTAATTTAAAGTGCCTGGTTAATTATCAAGTTCAAGTAGGATTTTCGCGAAGACCCCACCTCCGACCCCTGAAAAATATTCTAGAGAACAAATTATCTCCATATTATTTATTTGTGTGCGTTTAGATTTTCTGCTTCTGACATTTCAATAGAAATCTTTTGGCAATGAAAAGGGAGCCGTTTCCTTTTTTTTAACCACGAAAAGGTCTTCACATGACGCTCACTTGAACGATATGTGGCGCAAGCCCAAGTTTAAAGTGGGAATCCCACACGTACATGAGATCAGAGACCCCAAAATAGTCCCTAGTAGTCCCCACCTCAATATTTCTCCTCTTGGGGGACGTCTCGGGCATCATCAGCCTTGAACCTCCCTCCTGAGGAATCGTTCCTATCATTTCACAATTAAAAAGAAATGCTTACGTGTAACTTAGGTAACTCCACGAAATCGCTAAAAAAATAGCATAGCTTGATGAAAAAGACGCCAAACTTGACGAAAACAAAATTTTATCGTCTAAATATTCATGTTATTTAATTAGGAAAGACCGAAGTTTTTTTTTAATTATTTTTAGAACATTCTCTAAATTTTGATTTTTTTTTTTTTTTTTTTTTTTTTTAAACCTTGTTTCTCTTTGTATCACTGGAACTAGTAAAATAACATAAAACTAAAAGTTTAGCACGTTTTTTTTTATGACACATTAATTTGCAAAAATAAAAATAATTGTCGGATGTTAATGAAACTTTCAGAGACTATTCACAGATGATCAAAATTTTTATAAATAAGTTTTTTTTATTAAAGTCATGGCAGAAATTTTTTTTATATATATTAACCCCCAACTAATTTTATGGAAACGCTAGAAATTCGATCACATCAGGTTTAGTGATTACAATAGTTAAAAGCACAAGGCTTTGAGGAATACAAATAATGTTTTGTTTGTTTTTTTTTTTGTTTTTTGTTTTTTTTTTTAATTGGATCCGCACTACCTAAAAATCAGCTCTGAATTGTAACATACAAAACGCAATAAAACAAATATATTATTTAATTTCAAATGCTTTTAGTTGTTTTTATGAATATGGACAATATTTTCTGAAAGCAAAAATTTTTTTTCGATGAAAAATGAATTTTTAATACAATTATTTGTTATTTCTTTAATTATAATAGATTTTTACATTTAAGTTAAAATATTATAAAATTAGTTAAAAGCCACATCAGCTTTCCTAAGTGTCCTTATGAGGTAGATCTTTTTTTCTTTTTTTTTCTTTTTTTTTTTAGCGCGTTGTAAATTGTATCATTTTGACTAATCAGAAGACCCGCAGTAATTAAGAAATGTAATTTTGTGTTTATAATCTGGACCAACCAGAATACAATTAAGTTTCGTTATTTGAGTTAAGCATTGTTCTCCGCTGTTAAGGTCTTTACTTTTGCAAAACACTTGTGGAGAAGTTAATTTGATTTTTCAATTTCAACTGAGAAGGGTACCTACAAGTATCGGTATCATCTTATGAAATTTATATGATCTTATTTTTATATTAGTCTCAGTTAAGACATTTTTCCATAAATGAATATCAAAATTAATAATAAAATGAATGCAAATACAAATAACATAGTAAAATGTAATAAATGTACATAAAATTATGAAATTTTATCTCACTCTTAACAGTTTTATTTTAATTTCTTTATATTTTCCATAAAGCATCGTAAACATAAAGGTGAAAGCAAAGTACAAAAAAAAAAATTAGAGCGCTGAAAGTTTTCCTTAAAAATAACAAGGTAAATAATTTGTTCACTTAAATCAAAATAACTTCACATTTCGCCTTCCGTATGTAAATCTGTCAATACGTCATTCAACACCTGTCAAGTGACGCAAAAGATTATGACCTGCTTTGTTTTATTTTCAAATTACATCTTTTCAGTACAGAAGCTAAGTTAACCTTGGTTCAAAATATTTTAAATAAACATTATAATTTCTGATTTTCTTAAAATAAGTTTTGAAAAAATGATAATGGATTTTTAAAAGAATTTCAAAAGTGAGATTTCCATCTTTTTTATAAAATGGAAAAAAATGGATGCCATAATCGATTATCTGTCAATTTTGCTGACTCAAAAAAAAAAAAACAAGATTTTTAACAAAAATTTCTGACATGCTCGGAACGATTAAAAAATGTAAAAAAAAAATACCCCCAAAATACTTTGATCTTTCCTATTAATAATAACATGAACATTTATACAATAAAATTTAGTTTTTGTCAAGTTTGGCATCTTTTTCATCATGCTATGCTTTTTTTTTTTTTTTTT